TTGGTGAACTAAAAATCAAAGTAAATCTACAGACTAAATTAATCCATTTTCTTATTCTCTGTAAATTGACCTAGTTTTACCTTTAACACTTCCAATGAAAGGTAATTAAGTAAAGCTTTGCTTTGGTTATATTTTAAAGGCACTAAAAACTGCAACATTTAAAAAAATAGAAACAATAAATATGCTTCTCTGACTCAAGATTTTTTATATTTATAAAATGGGTATTTTTTCCAAAGCAAATGGGTATTTTTTTCCAAACCACGGGAGATCAACGTAGTAAAGTGATAACTGAAGAGAAAACTCAGTAGTAGAAGTAGTGTTATACCAGAGGTTGGAAAAAACGTCAGTGAAGCTGGTGGGTGTAGTTATCCCCCTTAGTTTAGGATAAATGTAGGAAAGAATCAAACTCCTTTGTGGAAATAGTTGAAACCACAGCAGCCACTGCCAAAAACATGTGACAAGGCTTGAATAGAAGCTGAAACATGCAGTCCTGTAGTCAAAGGGGTTTCCTTGAGAACTGATGAAGCTGGGGCACAGACTGGTGAAGCTGTGTGTATTTGGACATATCTACACATGCAATTAATATGGAACAATAAACTTATTGCTTATTGGATCAGAGTATATTGCTCCTGGATACATATTTTGAATGTGTGCCTAGGACCAGAGCACATTGAGCTAGGGTGGAGCCAGCTGGCAAGGGGCCCAGGTAGGCTGCTTGCCAGCCCAGAGCTCCTCTGACTCAGCTCACCATGCTGCAAAGGGTCTGGCTGGGGCATGAAGGCTAGCTAGCAGGCAGCCTCCTCCCTGAAGCACCATCATGCCCCAGCCAGCCACATCAGTGTCTACATGTGCAGTGCTGTGGAGTAAAAACTTCACAGTAATGCACCTGTAGATACAAGCACTACCCTGCTGTGGAGTTTATTAGTTTACTCCAACCCAATTGCCCTGCATATGTAGATGCCAAGACACTTACTGTAGAGCTAATTAGTCAACTCAGCAGTAAGGGTCTCATGTAGATGCCCCTCTGTGTATGAAAGAGGAGAGAAACATAGAGAATGACAGAGAATGGGTGAAAAAGGCCAAGTCCCAATGAAAAAATCCTTGCCAATATGACTTTTGGGAGAAGGAAGATTAAGGGCAAAGTGCTGGCTGAAAGAAGCCTGGAACTTATGACCAAAGCGTCTCTCTCTCATTCAATTCCTATTGTGTTTAGGGAAATAGGATTTCATGTACTTTCTTGATAGATAGAATTTCTTTAAAGAAATCTCTGTGTTCATCTATTTCTTTTTTTTAATGTGGACAACTTCCCACAAACCATAACCTTGCTATACCCTAAAACTGTTACCTCTTCAGGACAAAAGAAGTAACTATTTCAGAAGGAAATGGAAATTAATCAAAAGGATCTTAAATAGAGGAGATTACTTTAAATCAGTAGAGGTCAGGGGTGTCAAAAAAACTAGATACAGCCCATGGAGCCTCATAATCTGGCCCCCTAGGCTGCTCTGTTGACCCACATGCTGCTCTAGATCAGCCCCATGCACAGTGCCTGGGATGTATGCTACCGGTGGCACTTGCTGGGCTAGGTCCCAGGCTGTACCACCCACAGCACTCACTGGGGTTGGGTTCCAGCCTGGGGCTGTTCCTGGCCTGTGGTGCTTGCTCAGGTTGGAATCCTGGACCACCCTGGATGGGTGCTGCATGCGCTGGATCAGGCATATGGGCAGCAGTATGTGGGCCTGATCCAAACCATAAATTAGCCCCATGCCGCTCATCCAGCTTGTGGGGTCAGATGAGATTGACACCTCTGGTATAGAGGAATCTAGAGAAGAAACAGAAAATGCATTAAAATGATGGGAAATATAAAATAAATATGTAAGTAAAAGAATGTAATTAGTGACAAAGCTTTTAGGCCAGGCCCAGGTATAAGAAAATATAAAATGTCATTGATACACTGCCATCTGGTAAATGTGCCTTCCATAATTTTCACGTCAGAAAATAATGTTTCATTTTTAGCAGCCTTGCAATTGTAAGAAGCAGGCCTCACTGGAACATTGATCAATATATGCTGCTCACCCAAAGGTTTTGCTAAAGCATTGGCCAGAGTAGTCCTCACTAGCAAACCTGATTGATGCACAAACTCCTTACACAAACAAAACTTGGCAGGTTCACATGGGAGGAAGAAATGATGGTATAAGGTAGGATAGTCCAGAACCAGGATTAAGAGACTGGAATAGGGACACCAGGTCAGATGTGAAACAAGCCCATGGTACAAAATGGTTTGTGACATTTAAGATATAGATGGAATGCAATACATAATTTGTTTAGATCATTGTATAAAAGGAGAATTGGAAAGCAGGGAAATTTTGGGTAGCAGCTTGAGGGAGCTTGCATGCTTTGAACCCAAATTGTAGTAGTGACTTCATTAGGGGCAAGACAAGAAGGAATTGGTTCCAGTATAATTAATTCAGATATTTACTTATGAGATTTGGTAATAAGTTGGCAAGATAAAGCTAAAATTTATTTGAGTTCATCTAGCCATTTTCCCTTCCAACATAGGATTGTTCTGCACTGGCCCTTTCTTTATATGGTTAGTGGATGTGTCTAAATGTGCATGCACCTAAACTTAATGTGCATTTGGCTAATGCATGTTAAGGTGATTTAGGCATGTGTCTACATGTGCACATGCTAAGGCACATTAATTCAGTGTACACACTGACTTGGGACTCAAGTTAGTCCCAAGTCAGTTGACATACACAGCATTAATGTGCCTTAGCTTGTCTACATGTGCATTAAGGTGCTTTAGCTTTTTGTGCCTAAATTTGATACCTGCTTAAATTTGATACCTGTCTATAATTACAAATTATGCTGGTACCTCTGAGCTATATTAGCAATGCATTTTTTTGATACAAGGCAAAAGAGTTATAGGTTTTCTCAGGTGTCTGGTATTCCTAGTCTCCCAGTTCAATGAATAGGGCATCATAAAGATTTGATTCATGCCAGGTATCAAATTTAGGCGTGAATAGACTAAAAGCACCATTTTTAAGGAGCATTAAGGGCATGTATGTGTTGACCCATGCCCTTAACGTGCCTCAGTAATGGCTAATGCACCTTAAATTGGCACATGTAGATACAGTCTATATGGTCTAATTTTATGTAGTCTCAGTTATAGGGCATTCATGCCTACTATAGAGTAGTTTTCACAGAGTAAGGAATCTTTCAGGGGGTTCTCACTACAGGAAATTTTTTTCATTTTCTTTTGCATAAGTAATAGTAAAGATGATTGTCTAGATTCTGAATACTACCTGCGTATGAGAAGAATTTAAAGATGGAACTAGAAGAAGAAAACATTTGGGTGAGTTTTCCCAAAGAAGGAGGAAACAGAAAAGTTGAGGAAGCTTACTTCCATCTTCAAATAGAACACATAAAGTATGATTGATAAACTCTGCAGGGTGGATTACCATTTCAGTGGCCTGGAAAGTAAATTTCCAGAAAAAAAGGACAGTGTAGGTTAGCTGCTTGTTCATTGGAAAGATCAATTGCACCCCCTGGTGGCAAACAAAGAAAAACATCAAATTCTGATATGGAGGGACTCTTTCTAACCTGAGACAAAATAGGTAACTCTACTGTAGCCATTTAAATACATTCCTCACAGTTTACTCAAGAAAAGTAGATAGAGAATAGGTCTAGCCATAAAATGAAATGCCATCTACTGCCAGAATGAAAGAAAATCCATTTTGTTTTAGAAACGGTTAACTTTCTGTGGAAATGGTATTAAAGCAGATTATTGCATTACTGTGAAATAGACATTAATTATTACTTGACTACCTCTAAAATATATTTGTAGAGAATGGAAAAACTTGGCATGGAGCTAATACTGTTGTTTCAACCTCATCAATTAAAATTTGCCATTTCATAGTTTCATAGTTTCTAGGGTCGGAAGGGACCGGGGCAGATCATCTAGTCTGCCCCCCTGCCATGGCAGGAAAGAGTACTGGGGGTCAAACGACCCCGGCAAGATGGTCATCTAACCTCCTCTTAAAACCCCCAGGGTGGGAGCCTGCACCACCTCACTTGGAAGCTGGTTCCAGACCCTAGCCGCCCTGACCGTGAAGTAGCGCCTCCTGATGTCCAACTTAAACCTTCCCTCCGCCAGCTTGTGACCATTA